GCCCGCGGAGCTCCGCTGGGAGCCGAGCACTGAGCTAGAGACTGTCCCTCTCCCAGCCGCGCAGGCACAGGCAGAGCCCTGGGTGAGTAGTCTCGGAGCTCCCTTGCTCCTCCAGGCAGGCCAGAACCATTCAGGCGCCTGGTTCTCCACATCCTTTTCTTCTGTTCTCGGTTGTGTGCCTGGAAGGTGTGGGAGATCTCGCTCCTCTGGTAGGTTAGTCAAGCTGGGATCCTTGCTTGGGAAGGGATTTTTTTTGAAAGGCTTCGCTATCTGCGCCTTAAACCAATGTCATACTACTAAGTCGTCTGTCTCAACTTGGAAATCTTCTTCTTCCCTTGTCCATCAGCTTTTCTTTTTTCCCCTTCCTTTTCCCAACTTTTCCAGCCTTACAGAGTTGCCTCCTTTGCTTTCACCTGCAAATTTATGTAGGTAATAACAAGTCAATGATAAGCTGAGGGACTTCTTAGTCATTGAAGGTTATCGCTAACAAGTGACTTAAACTTCTGTATGTTTTTCTTTTGTTCTCCCTTAGGCCGAACAGTCATGACAGCTGAAAAGACTATTCCTATAATTAATGGCAAGCCAGAAGATGCTTTGGACCCAGAAGCCTCAAGCACCAACCTCGTCCACAGCAACGATAAGAAAGTTCATGAAAGAGGTCACTGGAACAATAAGGTTGAATTTGTGCTTTCTGTGGCAGGGGAGATTATTGGGTTGGGAAATGTATGGAGATTCCCATATCTTTGCTACAAGAATGGCGGAGGTAAGATGGCATCATATGTTGATTTACAGCTTGCTATAAAAGTGTGGGAAATAAACAGTTAAGAACGCTTTACAGTGATTTCTTGCGCTAGTTGAGAGATAGGTATTCAGGAGTTCAGTGTATTTGCAGCCAGGGAAGTATTAAGCTTCTGAAACTAAGAAAAAATCGTGTTTTTCTTTCCTTCTCAAATATTGTGTGGCTTACTTTCAATTGCCTTTTTTTTTCTGTAAGATTTTTAATATGGAAGAAGCCAGTGGTCTGTTATAGTAGTAGGCTGTGGGTTTTCTTCTGCAATTGAATACAGACCCAAACATACTTAAATAAGTTTGTCTGATGTAGAAAATAATGTAGCAGTTTATTTTTCACAACAATATACTTCGGGGAGGATGAATATTGTCTTTGATATTGCTACAAAGATTACTTTTTTTTTTTCTTTGTCATATGAAAATTTCTTCAACTCAACCATACTTTTTTTTTCTCATTATGTCCCAAATCACTACAGTAGGGTAGGGGAAGATGTAAAAGCTGCCTGTTATTCAAAGAAGAGAGCAAACCCTCTAAAATTGAGAATAAGAATGTTATTTGAGAGAGAAAAGAACAGACTTAACTTCTACAAAATTATAACATGTGGTATGTAGTGGTTATAGTTAAGTATAAACTGTGTAAGATGTGACAGTTAAGAATAAACACATCAGCTGTGACTTGCAAAGCAATGAGGAAAGACAAGTAAATTAAAAACATAGTTTAGAGTTCTGTGGACTGGATTTAACATTCTCCCCACATAAGGCCTGAATCAGTGTTAGTGTAAGCATATAGGCTGGGAGAAAAATAGTATGTTCAGAGGCTGATATGCAAAGTGCTGTGCCAAATTTCTTTCCCTTGTCCCTCTGAACCTAGGCACAGGGATGGTTTTGGCCCATTTTGTCTTCTGTCTCTATAAGGCAGTGGAATACTACTGTGGAAGATTTGTTTATAGTTTGCAGCTTCTTTCTTTCTATGTCTGTACTTTGGCAAAACTAAGAATTCACCTGTTTTCAGAATGATGCTACCAAGTACTGCTCTTAGTATGTAAATATTAATCTGCTGGATATGATATGCAGAACAGTTTCTTGCTGATTGTCAAAGTTTTCCCAGAGAAATTTTGGCAGAGGAAAAGATGGAAATATTTTTTCGGTATATAATGAAGATTTCCTCGTTCATACAGTAACCTTTATATGCTCATTGGTAGATATATGCTAGCTTGTCAAAATGTGATGCTATCATTTTTAAGGCTATAACGTTAGGTAGAAAAAAATTCTTACCATGTTTTTGGGTGATTTGGTGAAAAACTAATTGATTAAATATCCTACTTAATCACCACTCTGTTCTTTAAGAAGAAAATTAATGTGTGTGGTTTAATTTGTCATGTCCTGGCAACATGGGAAATTTGCCATTGATTTCAATTTTATTGTATGAGGACTTGGTCTATGACCTGTGTTTTTGTAACTCTCTGGAATGCCCTGCTGGAAGTAGACCAGAGTTGGACTTGTTTGGTGCATCAGATGTAAATACTGAAAACTACTTAGTGTGTGGTAAGTGAAGACAATGGTAAGATACATGAACTAGTTATGAAATAACTTGCTGGATACAGAACAAATCTAGAAGCAATAGTAACAAACATCTGAGGTCTGACCTCTCTGGTACTTACTCTGAGTAGTAGTACGCAGGTAGTACAGGCATAAACTTCTACAACTTTGATTTGTTCTTATGGATATTTAGTGGGTTTTTTAGGAAAATTAATTTCTTTGCATGTTTAGAATTTGATTTTTCTTGGAATATGATCTGTTTGTAAGCTGGGAGATCTGTTGTCCTCTAATTTTCATGATGTATACCTGTTGTAGAACAGTGTTGGAAACAACTCCAACAGTGCTGGAGTCAAAGCTAATACTTTCAACAAATCACCGTGTTAAACTTGCTATGATTGTGCATGTGAGTGGGCCAAGCTGGATTTGATACCGTCCAGCAGTTCGTCTAGCCTGTAAGAATTTTGTTCAAACCATTTGCACAGTAAATCATACAGAGAAACCATGTTTTAGATGCAAGGATTCCATTCTTTGTGAGATCCACACGTATTGCTTGAGATGCAGCAGAGATTCAACTATAGGCAAATTGACTGGCTGAGGGATGAGACTACTCATGAAGAGATCTCTCTTGATGTGCTGGGGCTGAAGAAAAAAACTGCAAGTCAAAGCAGCTGTGTTTAGTTGTCTCAACTTTCTAATCAAAGTGACCAAAGCATAACAATTATTTCAGGTTGTAGGTGTGTTGTCGTGTTTGTGTTTTGCTGTGGTTTTGGGGTTTTTTTTTGTTTGTTTCAGGGTTTTCTTTTGTTTTTAAGATCATGAATGGGATACCTATTTGCCTTGTAGTTGTAGAAATTTTCCTGAAGTATATTCAGAAACATTTTGTTCATAGTTAATATTCTGACAGAGATTGAGTACTAGAGAGGTGGCTGTTAAGGTACTGTTCATTAATGATCAAATTGATCTTCAGGATTCCCACTGAAGGAAGGAAATGCTGCTATTGCTAGTGCTCTAAAGTGATCAATGTATGCAGTGATGGACAGCACTGTAAAATGCATCTTCCTAGGAAAAACTGCGTCAACCAAAACTTTTGTGTGTTCAACATATCTTGTGTTGATTTGAAATAGAATGAATGGTGGGATGCTTACATCATTTAATGGGAGCTTTAAATGAAGTTAATTAGTGTTGTGGGAGTATTTGGGAGCAAGTAGGTGGAGGCCTGGATACAACACATTATGTGTGTTGTACTAACCTTTATTTTCATAACTTAATTAGTTAACGCTTTAATTTTCCTACAACTTCAGATAAATTATTCTGTGCAGTAGTTTGCTGTGCTGGTCTGCCTTGTTAAACCAGTAAAGCTTTCTTGGTGTAAGTAAAAATGGCAGAATCAGTTATTTTGTGCTTTCTTCTCAGTATTTATTTCCTTCTTTCCTTGTTTCAGTCTAAACCAGTATAGTTGCTTGCTTTCCACTTCATCCTTTGACTCATCAGAAAGTCTGAGTACTTTGGGGAATGAGGGAAAATATTCTTTATGCTTTATACACTAATGGATTCTCTAGGTAGTCAAAAGGCTGTATTTTATTCCTTATTATTTAGGTTCAGTCCTAAATGGAATACCTAAAATGTACATTATTAGCAAGTGACATTAGTTAGTAGCCCAACATTATGTTCTCTCGTTTCTTCGCTTCGGCATACTTCACAACCGTGTTCTTTAGGTGCCATACCAAATAACATGATCAATCATTAAATAATACAATACTTCTGCTATGTGTTAATTGATTAAGAGAAGATTTTTTTTGTTGTTGTATACTATGCTTTGGCATTGAATTGTACTATTCATTACCTATGCTGGACTTTACTGTCAGCATCTAACAAAAATGTCGATGCTTTGTTTTTTCCCTACAATTTCACATTAATGTTTCTAGCCGATAAGGCCAAGCCTGCTTTCCTGTTCTTGTAAGTAGTTGCAAAGTTCATTTCATCATTCCCTTTTCATGATCCTTATCATCAGGCTTATCCAAATAACATACAAAGGACTTCTTGGATTTAATTTCCATAACACTTCTTCATCCCTGCTTTCCTGAGAAAAGCAAGGAAGAGAAGATAGTGCAGACTGACTTGGTGATGATCAGAGCAGAACTGTGTGGCTGAGCAAGACTGTGGTCTTTTATGTGTTTGAGAGACACATGAGCAGAATTTAGTCGATACTGAGGGACTTTGGTCTTGTCTTTTTTTTAGTCCATGACATTGGCTTACAGGTTAACTTTTGATATTTGGGACCAGAAGTAAACACTTTCTGTGCTTTCAGCTCAGTGCCTGAAAGGTGGCTGATAGGTGATCCTTCCTTTATTAAGAAAATTAATTTCTCACTATGCTGTCAAGGAACTGTATTCATTATAACCAATACCCCCTCAATGTTTGTTTGTAGGTGCTTTCCTCATCCCATATGTTGTTTTTTTTATTTGCTGTGGAATACCAGTATTTTTCTTGGAAACGGCCTTGGGACAGTTTACTAGTGAAGGAGGCATTACATGCTGGAGGAAAGTTTGCCCTCTATTTGAAGGTAACAAACAGTTCTGTGTTCTACTGCAAAAGAATGCATCAAATTTGAAGTAAAATAAAATAAATTGTATCAAAATTGAAGTTAAGATATACTTAAAGTAGTAAACATTTGGTTTTAAATTACCTGAAAAGTAAAAGTTTTCTATTGTGTCTCACTTTTTTTTCCTCTAGGCATTGGATATGCTACCCAAGTTATAGAGGCACATCTAAATGTATATTACATCATCATTTTAGCATGGGCTATCTTCTATTTGTTTAACTGCTTTACTACAGAGCTTCCTTGGGCTACCTGTGGGCATGAATGGAATACAGGTATGACCTCAGTAGAGATTATTGCTATACAAATACTTCAAAGTAATTGATTAATATATTGAGATGTTAGGAACAAAAATACTTTGGTAGAAAAGTCTGGAAATGAGCCAATCACATCACAATATACAATGATAAAGGAATCCTGGAGCAAAGGCTTATTCATACCTTTTTGGTTTAGGTCATTGTATAAGCATTTGTTCCTGCAGAATATAATGTCAGATAGCAGAAGACTTTTTATTTTGTTAATTCTGTAAGATATTCTGACTAAATCCCAAGACTCTCACTTACAGTCATATCTATTCTTCCTGAATACAGTAAGTGAATTCTACTGAAGAGCTGATGACCTGATGACAGGTTACAATCTTGCTCTTTCACTCTAATGAAATCAGGAGGAGTTTAAATGGAAGGGAAGATACTAAATGTGGAACTCTGGATTCGCTCTTTTTAATGCCAGATGTTGAGGGATAATGTTCATCAAACTACTTCTGCAAATTCAGTCACATAAATAACTCTTACCGCATGCAAAACAGCCTCTTATATGAAAGATGAGGTGTGTATTCATGAGGGTTTGCAGTACAGGGCTCTGCATCTGTCCTCTCACTGATATTTTTATCTGTAATGCTCTACTTATTGCATTTGAAGATTGCAAACATCTATGGGGAGGAATACATACCAGTGCCCTTATTTCCATGTTCCTGAAGTTTTTGCATTTATTCCTTATATTAGTGTTCAATTTCAAATCAGGTGCCAATTGTACGGTCCTTCATGGTTTTTATTAATTGGTCATTATCGTGTGCTTTGAGCATACCTAAAACTATCTGAAATCTTGCAGTTTAGGTTATCTTAGGGAACTAGTCTTGGGACCAATAGACGTGAAAGGCTTCAGTATTAATTTTGGCAACCCTGCAAAGGAGCTTAGCCAATGTTGATTGCTGTTCAAATACTAAGTGTCAGTGCAACAATGCTGAGCTGCTTTGATGTCCTTTCTCTGTATTAGAGGTAATAATAATAAGCCAGAGTGGCTTTTCACTTGCCATATTAAGGCAAAGGGGAAACTTGTTGCTGGCAGTATTTCATAAGCCAATTGTTACCATTGGCCCTTGAACCAGCAGTTGGAGTAGGAGTATGTTGTAATTCCCAATCAACTGCCTCAGTTTTTCAAAGCATCTTTCTTCTGCCTCAGATGTTTTATTGGCCTTTGCCATTGCAAGTGTGCCTTTGGAAAGTTATAGGACAATGTAGCCTACTGCATAGATATTTTTTCTGGGATAGGCCTGTGATCTGGTGATCAAAATACAGTGTTGCAGAAGTAGCAGCTGTGCCATTTTAGTGTACCTAGAAATCCTGTAACCACATAGAGGAAATGTGTTATGGAATGGTGGCTTTATGAGATGCATAAACTAGAAGATGCACAAGAAGAAATGTACTTACGTGTCAATATAGCAAACTCTTTTCTGTTCTTTTATAGAAAACTGTGTGGAATTTCAAAAACTTAATATGAGCAACTGCAGTCAAGTCTCTTTGCAAAATGCCACTTCTCCAGTGATGGAGTTCTGGGAGTAAGTGCACATAAACTTTATGTTTGATCAGACTATTCATTATCTTCCAGTATTTTGATCATTTACACATGATTAGATATCTTGTAACCCTATAGCACTTAGTGATGTGAGTTCAGCTGGAAATCTTCTCATACAGCCAAAGAGAGTCAGGACGAGAGTTTTAACTCTTTTTTTTTTTTTAGAGGATACAAGGAAAGGAATTCCATATCCTGAAAGAACATAGAACAAAGTGTGCCACTTGCTTGGGAGCTTGGCTCCTGCTGCTGGAGGAAAGAGCCTCAAACCCATACTAATGAGGAGGCAGAGGTGAAAGAAAGAGGATGATTTTTAAATATTTCTTGCTTTTTTCCAGGATGTTTCTTCCCTTAAGTTGTTGAGAGTTGCATCTTCATCCTTGTTAGAGCTAACCAATACGTCTGCTTCTGTGTCTCATTATTTTTTAAAGGACTATGTAAGTGTTAGTTATTCAGCTATAATGATGGGAGAGTTTAACTCTCTTGTGTCTCCCTGATTCTTATTTCTAGTTAGAGTAATAGAAGAGAATTATATCTTTACAAGATACGGTCTGTTTTTGTGATGATACATATTTTTTTCTTACTATAAATATTTAATTAGTGCATGTGTAGACACATATTTGTTCCTTGCAGGGCATAGTGTGTGTTAAGACAGTCATAGAAATGGAATGTTTACGTTTAATACTTAGTCATCTCACAATTCAATGTGTGTTACAAAATTCTGGGTTACTAAAATTTCTTAAGGGCCCATTCTAATCTCATTAATTTTATTAATAAGATAGAGCCTTATTCTGAGGCTGTATGTTCAGAACTCTGATTTGTGTTCAGGATAGCAATAGCTACGCTTTGAGAGGACCATAAATTAAGATTATCCTTGAAGGGAGAACTCTACGTTGACATTGTTTTCTTGAATGTTAACGTATGCTATTGTCTTTGCCTCTGAACCTCTTTGTCTCGCTACATCAGTTACCTTAGCCTTCATGGGTGGTAGTTGTTGCTTCAGTAAATACTGTTTTATTTAAAATTTAAAAAAAAAAAAACCCAACAAACTACTAAATTAAATCTGAACAAGGCATTAAAATGCATACACTCTCTGGTTAAAATTGTCATTTTATTTTGTGCTAAAATTTTCAATAATCTGAACACCCAACATGTTAAATCAAAATATACCTACTCTACCCACTTCCCAGCTAATGTTTCAGAATAAACATGAGTTTTTCAGTGGCATCTCTTATTGCTATGACTTCGTCATTTTAACAAAAATACCTTACAGTTCTTTGAGATAACTAGAACTAAAGTTTCATACAGTTAGAGTAAATGAACAAAGTATTTTCTCCAGTACTACCTTTATTTACCCACTCTGTTTATTTGCTTACTCAAAAGTATTCAAAACTCATCAATTGATGGTAACTCCAGTTATCCAGAGGGCAATGTTCAGTTGAATTATACGGAGGGCACAGACTAAGTTGTATTTCCTCATGTTTCTAGGGTTTTGGGTATTTTTTTTGTTTCGTTTTTTTTTGTTAATGCTCCTCTTTGGACTGCCTAAATTCCCATGTCAGTGTTATTTTGATGCACATACAGATATATTTTAATCACGTCCCCTTCTCAGAATTCTCTAAAAATGAAGCTAAACAAGATTCTATAGCTAAACTAGGATTCAAGTTACAGTGGGTTTTATATCCTTCAAATTTTGTACATATTTCCCTACCTGATTTTGGCTGAGTTAGGAATTGGTTATGAAACTAGAAGGGATAATCAGATTTAGCCTTTTCTCTAACTTGTTTTACAGTCTTGTGTATACAAAGTTGAAAGTATGCACTCCAAAACTTCTAAAATCGCAGAAACCAAAAGAGGAAGTAAACTAAATAATTTGTTATTTATTTGAAGCTTTTTTCTTTGATGCGTTGTGGACAAACTTTTCATAATACTAACAATTTACTGGCTGAAATAGCTTAAGATATTAAACTTATCTACTTTCTCTGCCCAAGCAAAACTGAAGTTGCATAGCTTTTCACCCTTGGAAAATGAATGTACTCTCTTTCTGTTGAGGAAGGTATTTGCCTTGTGAAAATTTAAGTAGGGATGACATTGCAGGGCTTCAAAATTTAAAATAGACATGATGAACTAATTTAGAAGTGGAAGAGTGAGCTGTATTAAATATCAGGACTGATTTTGCATTACAATAATTAATTGGAATGAACAGAAGATTATAATTAAGTTATATGTCTTAAATGTATCAGACATAAATGCACAGTAGAGGTCTTTGTGTACAGATGTGCAGTGCAGATCACAGAGTAGTTAATACGAAGTAAATATATTACTAGACTTGTTAAATTGTCCAGCAAGTTATCTTATAGTCTCTAGATAAGTGTTACAAGACATGTTATTTCACTTAGCCAGAGATCTTGTTTGCAATGATGTTGCTTTACTGCTTTATAAATTCTGCTGTCAGAAACCATAAAATTATTGAAAGACTCTTTTTGAAACAAATAGTAAAAGGAAAGTTGATGGGGTAGACCATCAGAGCAGATGCTTGTTGCTATTTTCAGAACTCGTGTGGACAGTGTGCAAGAATCTTCATCCAATCACAGCACTGAATTAATTTGCTTAAGGACCAGGTTCCTTACAATTAATTAAGTTTATGCCTGTGAAGGGAAGGGGGAGGCTCTAGGTTTCTTTTGAACAACCGCACCATTTAAAACCTTTACCTCTCTGCAATGTCAAGTCTGCAATTGAAATTCCTCTAAGCTGTGGCCATGTAAAGCCAATCTATTGTGCAAAGGGTCAGGTAGCTGGTGGGAAAAAAGTTAAAAAGTTTGGGTTTGTGGTGGTGTTTTTTTGGGGGTTTTTTTTTGTGGTTTTTTTTTTTTTTGGTCTGACCATCTACTCTTGAGATAATCTGTGAATTAGAGTGATAATTATTGTGAATAGTTATCCTATTTGCTTACTGTATGTGATCTCATTTACATGTAGAACTGAATACCGTGTTTGTAAATTGTCAGGCTGATGTTACATCTTTCCTTTGATAAGGAAATATCACATTACCACAGTCTTCTAGAGTATTAACAATACCTTCAGGTTATTTTAATTAAAAAAAAAACAACCCCAAACCCCAACAAAGACGCTTGGGGAAGACTCAGTATTTACACAAACACATGTTTTAGCAGTGTTGTGTGTTTCTTTCAAGCCCAGTGCTCTCAGTCTAAGAATTAATAATGCTGAGGCATATACAGATTGCTATGTATCACACCAACTAGCCTGTCATTATGTAAATGCCAGCAGAGGTTAGTAGCAGGAGCACAAGTTGGATTTAGTGTTTTGTGTGTGTGCATAAATGAATACACCAGGCCTAAAAGGATATCTTTACTTCTGGCTTTGAAAAGGAGTTTTTTCTCTCTCACTCATGTTTGCTCTTTTGCTCTTTCTCGCGCGCTCTCTCCCTCGTGCTCTTTTCCCCTCCCCCATTTAACTTGTACTACTAGGTCTTTTCCTTACTTATTTGTGACTGGAAGCAAATCCAAATCCTCAGTTGGTTTGAGGACTGAAAATAAAGACTTCAGCCTCTCTGCTGAAATATTTCTAGCTTTTATTACTTCTGTGGCCTTGGCTATTCCTAAACCTATTGCTGAAGTGAAACAGCCACTCACCCAAGTACAGTGATGACTGAGAGGATATTTTGCAGTACTATGAAGCTTTTCTGGCAGGAAGACTAGTAGTTACCCTTCCTCAGTTCTATACAGAGGATACTGTTTCCTTGCTACTCTAGCAGGTGCACACTCACTTCCTCTGATAATTCAACATTCTTTACTAGCTTTGGTGGCTGAGTCACACAGAGGGTGAAGGCCTATTTATTGTCTTGGATGGATGGACTGTTTGTTTAAAAAAAAAAAAAAAAAGCCGTTTTATTGTTTGGGATTGGTGGAGTTTTTTGTTAAAAAAAAAAAAAAAAAAGTGAAGACATTAGACATAAGTCCTGCAATAGGTCCTAGATGCTATTTTCCTTTTGGTACACTCAGAATAATCTCATTGTACATGCAAAGACCTCAAAACTTAAAATCTTTTTGTGAGCCTGTAATTGATAACTGCTTATGTGTAGCTATACAGTGAAAATGGTCTGGTCCTGCTGGAGGAGCAGTAGGAAAAGTCTGGGAGTTTGAACCCTCTTTACTTGTTTTCCTGCTTAGAAATATCTATCCCTGTTAATGTTCTAAGACATATTTGAGTTAGCAGACTTGCCACTGACTACAGGTATCAGTGTTGACAGCTCTGGGAAAAATTAGGAGATTAAAGGATTTCTTACCTTACTTAAAAAGACCTTGCGAGCCATAGCCTTGAGATGTTTTACATTCCATCTGTGTATATAGTTTCTTAAAGTAAGCAGATTTGCTTAAGGTAAGCATTTTGAATCGATCAAAATTCACTTTTTATTTTTCAAACTCTCTGATGCTATGTTCCAAAGAAGGACAGGCAAGAGTCTGAAACTTCACTTTTCATTTCATACGGGTGCCCAGCATTCAGGGACTGTCCAGTTAACTACCATTTATGGTGTTTCTCTCATCCTAATCATATAGCTTGATTAAGGGTTTTCTAAGGAAAAATAACCATAATTTCAAGGTACAGCACATGGAATTTTTATTGTCCAAACTTTAAACAGTTAATAGTGGTAGCTGCAGTAATAGTAGAGGTGTTGATAATTTTGGATATCTTTAAAGCAGTCCCATGAAAGAGAGCTGTGGCCATGGATAAGGCTATATTTATAGCCTGGGAAACAGAAGAGAGAGGAGAAGATACTCTACTGTGTTTTTATGTATGCTTTCCTAGGAGAGGAAATTGTCTGGCAGGTATAGGGGGCAGCAACCACTCTGTGTACTCTTTTGGCTGCTACTCCAGTCTGTCACCATGGCCAGGAATTTGAGGTTTATAATGCCTGGGAAGGGGGCTGGACAGACAGAGGACCCATGGTTTTGTGGTTGATTCCACCTC